GGGGGGGGGGGGGGTTTCTGTAGGGGCTGCATTTCCCATGGGGTGCATGCTGATTGTGCTGATTCAGAGAGAAGGGAGGGAGTGACTCAGCACCTGAATTGGTGCTGGCCCGCAGAGAGACTTTGTGTCCAGGAACTCGGTGAGGGGGCACTCCCCCCTCGCAGGCAGTGCTGACTCCAGTACCCCAGCACAGTGCTAGGAGGAATTGTGCTGCAGGGAACAGGGGGGCGGAGGAGCAGCTCTAACAGGGCAGCCCCTAGTCTCAGTCCCTGTCTATAGGGTAGACACTGGCCAATCACCACACAAAGGGTGGGAGCTTGGTATCCTGCCCCAAAACATGGCATCTCTACCTTGGTATCACCCCTCCTGGCGCTGCCCATGGGCTTGTACCTCTGTGTCTGTCCTGCCAGCCCAGAGGGGCCTGCTGTGGCAGAAATTTGGCCTGAGCCTCCCTCTAAGAGCTGGGATAATGGATGGCAGATCTAGTGTTTTCCTTGGCATGGATCTGGTGCCAGTTTCTTCTCCTCTTCACTCATCTGGAACATGTTGTGCTGCCAGCTGCCCTGTGCCCAGCTGGGTTACACAGTAACCTGCTTGGAAAAAACTATGACCCCCTTTTTCCAGGCCCCACCTGTCATTCCAGACCCCAGAGCTGGGGGGGATCCTGTTGTGGAATCATTCCAGACCCCAGAGCTGGGGGGGATCCTATTGTGGACTCTCTGCATCAGGTCCTGGCCAAAAGAAAGGGGATAAGGGCTTTGTCAGGCAGCAGTGGGTGGTACAAAGGAGTGACGTGGAATCAGCAAGGCATAGATGGGACAGAGGGCACTTGAAGGATATGGGTGTGGCAGGCTTGGGCCCAAGATGTGGGGGTCACAGGGCTCAAGCAGTCATGGGAGCGGCTGGTGGGGATGGACAGCAGTGGGCCTCTGGGATGGCACAGGTGGGCTCTGAACGGGCCTAGCTGGGTACAGGTGAGCTCAGATGGCACAGTACCAAATTGGGTAGGGACACGACAGGCACTCAGAGCCTATCTGTGTCTTTGGCTGGCACAGGAGGGTGCTGGGGGTTTGGTGATCAGAGTTGTGCTCAGATGGGGCTTAGGTGGGATGGGTTTGGCTCAGCTGGGCACGGTGCAGTTGGGGTCCCTTACAGGCACAGGCATGGGCACAGACTGATGTGTGAGGCTCAGCTGCACATATGCCTCTCGCAGTAGGGCCCTGGCTCCAGATGCTGCCAGGGGACAGATACTAGCTGGGACTCACGTAGCTCAGGTGAGCGCAGGAGACATAGGTGTGGTTCCTGACCCTCTGTGCCAGCTGTGCCGCTGGAGCCCAGCTGATTATGCATTCAGCCTTAGCCCAGCAGTGCAGGGTGCCGTGGGGCACTCTGGGTTCACACCCCTCTCTCCAATCTTCCCTAGTGGCATCTGGTCTGTGCCCGACATGCCCTCAAAGATTTTGCCCAGTCCATCTACATGGCAGGGGTGCTGCTGGGAGCACTGGTCTATGGAGGCCTGGCAGACAGGTGAGTAAAACAATATTCCCCTCTCCCTGCCCTCCTCAATTACCCCACAGGCCCATCTAGCTTTGCATCCTCCCTCCATCAGCCCCATGGCCTGGGCCCATCCAGCGTGATATCCCCCGCAACCACCCGATGGACCCATCCACCCTGGTATCTCCCCTCTTCCCCAGGATCAGACCACTGAGCCCATCCACCCGGGTATTCCCCCCATCCAGCATCAGCCCCCTGGGCCCATCCAGCCTAGTATCCCCCCTTTCTCTGGTGTTGTTTCCCCTCTGGCAGGCTGGGGCGCCGGACACTGCTGCTCTGGTCCCTGCTGCAGGTGGGTGTGATGGGCACCAGCGCCGCCTTCGCCCCCAACCTGGAAGCCTACTGCACCTTCCGCTTCTTCAGGCGCCTGGGGCCCTCCG